GAGGGTATCAGGGATTGAACTCAGGGGCACTCGGCCCTATTTTATATTTTATTTAGAGACAGGGTCTTACTGAGTTGCTTAGTGCCACACTTTTGCTGAGGCTGACTTTGAACTCGAGATCCTCCTGTCTCAGCCTCTCGAGCTGCTGCGATTACAGGCATGTGTCACCATGCCCAAGGAAAAGATATTTTTAATAGTCTCCTTAAAATTTGTCAAAACTTGTTTTATAGGCGGGTGGAATTCTCCTGTAATTTCAGCTACTCAGGAAACTAAGGCAAGAGAATTGCTTGAGCCCAAGTTCAAAGATAACTTAGGTAACATAGGAAAAACCTGATTCAAAACAAAAACAAAAACAAACATGTTTTGTGATATAACATTTGATCTGTCCTGGAGAATGTTCTATGTATGTTTGAGAGGAATACATATTATGCTGTTGTTGAGTGCCCTTCTTCAGTTAGATCTAATTGGTCTAAGTGTTGCTCAAGTCCTCCATTTTCTGATTCATCTTTCATCTGGTTGTTCTATCCATTATTGAAAGTGGGATTTCAAAATCTCCTACAAATTTATTGTTCTATTTTTTTTCAGTTCTGTCAGTGTTCACTTATATTTGGGTATTCCAATGTTAGGTACATAAATAATTGTTATATCTTCCTGGAGAAATTGATCCTTTTATCACTATACAATTTTTTTAGTCTCTTGTGGGTGATGATTTTCAACTTAAGTCTATTTTGTTATATATTTGGCTATCCTACACTTTCAATTATCATCTGCATGGATTTTTTTCAGCTGTGTGTGCTTACTTATGTCCTTTGTCCATATAAAGGTTTATACATATGTATGTTTTTATATTTTGAGAGAAGGCCTTGCTATGTTACCCAGGCTGGTCTCAATCTCCTGGGCTCAGTAAACTTCCTATCTCAGCCTTCAGAGTAGCTGGGATTATAAGCATATGCCAGTATACCTAGCCAAGGGTGTGTACTTCATTTTAAGAATCTACAATCCAGCTTAACAAACAGAATACTGTGACAATGCATTTTCTAAAAATTACTTAAAAAAACTTTCCTTTTTTTTTTTGTTCCAGGAATTGAATTTAGGGGCACTTAACCACTAAGCCACATTCCCAGTCTTATTTTGTATTTTATTTATAGAAAGGATCTCACTGAGTTGCTTAACACCTTGCTAAATTGTTGAGCCTGGCTTTGAACGCTATCCTCCTGTCTCGGCCTCCTGAGCTGCTGGGATTACAGTGTGCGCCACCACGCCTGGCTCCCCAAATTTTAAAGAGAATTTTTGCCACTCTTCTATTATGAGGTATAGTTTTGGAAGCTGGGAGTGTAGCTCAGGGGTAAATGCTTGCCTAGTATGCATTTGGCCCTGGATTTGCTTGACAATCTCTCTCTCTCTCTCACACACACAAACGTACACTTTAATGCTCCTCGAATGTTGGTAGGCCTTTGCCTCAATGAACAAAATGGCAAGTAAGTGATATTGTTTGGTTTGAGAATAGGCGAAAAAAGACGATCACTTCCCCATTGTATTCCCTCTTAACATCTGCCTCAGTAGCCACAAGGAAATTACAAGTGGCCAGGCACATAGCAGAGTAGTTTCTTTGGCCGTCTTCCTGCCAGCATAAAGGGCTCTTTTAATTTGTTCTATTCTTTATCTTTTAGTCCATAGCGATAGATAGCTTAAACTTTATAAAATTTCGTATGTATCAATTTATAAGCAATCCATATAGACTAAAGTCATGCCTCCCACTCCCCATCTTGTCTGGATAACCCCTTCTTTACCTTGGCCTTCTAAGTGAGGTTGCTGAGATACAACATCCTTTCCTCAAAGTGGCCAGTACACTTCTGGCTCCACATGTTCTTCTAGAAGCTTGCTACACCTCCTCCCCAAGAGATGCAGATACAGTGGATGGCTTCTAATGACACGTGACAAAAGGCAGTATGGCTTCTACCTGGCTGTCTACCCTTGTTCTTAGAACTGTCACTACTGTAAAGAAGCAAACAAAGGGAGCGTGTACTGTGTATACATTCTGGCTTTAGTCCCACCTCAGCAAATGGCCACCATCAACTTCCAGACATGTGATTTCAAAGATTCCAAACCCACCCTTTGAGCGGACCCAGATTTGGCTGAATGCAAGCAGAGACAACCTGTTCCTATCAGGCTGTCCAGGTTGTAGATTCAAAAGCAAATATATGTTCTTTCAGGCTTTGGGGTGGTTAGGAAGCAATAGATAACTGGAGCACTACTGATACTTTTGAAGGCCCTTATATATCCCTTCTTGTTTGCACTTTCCTACTCCACTAGAAATAAGTAGTATTCTAAATTAAATATCACTAAATCTCTTGCCTTTTTTTTTTTTTGGTACCAGGGATTGAACTCAGGAGTACTCAATCACCTAGCCACTGTCTTGCCCTATTTTTTTTTTTAAATTTAGAGACAGGGTTTCACTCAGTTGCTTAGCACCTTGCCATTGCTGAGGCTAGCTTTGAACTTGCAATCCTCCTGCCTCAGCCCCTCAAGCTGCTGGGATTACAGATGTGTGCTACCACACCCAGGAAGTCTGTTGCTTTTTTAAACTCAGTTTTACCACATAAGTACTACTCTTCAAGAGTATACCCCCCCTCCAATGAACTGGTTAAGTTATACTCTTCTGTATAATTCTGGGATTGCTTTTTCCATATTTTTGGGATTCATCCACATTGACAATTTACTCCTTTTTGGTGTTGCATAGTATTTCACTGGGTACCATACCACAATTTACTTATCCATTTCCCCATCAATGGATATAATCTGCTAGTGCAGATTGAACCCAGGGGTGCTTTACCACTACACTAAATCCCCACTCCTTTTTTTTTCAGACAGTGTCTCAGTCACTGAGGCTGGTCTGCAATTTGTAATCCTCTTGTCTCAAGTCCTTCAAATGTCTTAAGTCCTTCAAATCCCTGGGATTACAGGCATGCACTATTTACTGTGCCTGGCTTTATTTATTTTTGCTCCTACAATACTGACATAAATGTTTTTTGTTTTGGTCTTGAGGACTGAGCCCAGGGCCTCAAGTGATAACGTACATTTCTACTGCTAAGTTATATTCTCAGCCTCATGACATGAAGGATATCCAAATACTGAGCAAATAAACACTGAAATAAAATATACTGGCAGGATACAGAAATTTGTAATGCAAGTCACATTTTAATATAGTTTTAAAAACACTTCCAAATATATCTACAAATTTAATCAGGAAAAATACCTGAAAGTAACAATGTAATTAATCATTAGTACATTATTTTAAAGAATTATTTTTCTGAATCCTTGGCTTACTACTTGGATTAAAAAGGTATCAACCTACTGACTTTTCCAGGTGGGCATTTTATATTAAATGAAGCTTTTCACAGCTGATAATTATAAAATAAAGGTGACAAAAATTATGATTTAATTTAAGTAGGGAAAAAATTTCCCTTAATACACTGGTAAAAAGCGTAAGTTGATACTTTTGAAACCTTTTGGCTACTACTAAAATAGTAATTAGTAAAATCTGCATCACCTGCAAATTTTAACTTTTCCTCTATTGTAAAATTCCTTATTAAAAAATGTAATGAGTGCAATAAAATCTTTATATTTGTGTTTGAAAAACCAATAAGCAATTTATCAAAATAATTCATCATGAAAGCAGGGTAAAGAGATTTAACAGAACCAGCTGTGCTTGTAACAGTACTCTGGAGGGCATCCCAGGAGTCTGAGATGCTGTTGTGGCAACACACAGTTTCAGGGTGAGCCTCAACTACTGCTAAAGCAGCTCTCCTCCATTTTACAATGAAAAATCAGTGCATATTCCTTTATCTTTAAAAGTGATCAATTGCTTTTTTGTTTAACTCGCTTTGGAAACATGGATGGGCTCTGATAAATCCATTATTTAACAAATTTAGGGTATTTTTTAATTACCTAAAGGAATTGGCTAAAACCCAGAGCAGGGACAAGAAGCTACAACACAGATCAGAAAAGAGGGAAAGGACAGAGTTATTTTATGGAATAGAACAACAATTTTAATACCTATTTTGAAATACTGAAACATTTTGGGTTCAGTTAGTCTCTACTATGTTTAAAACACAGCAGTGAACCAAAAAAATTAAACCACAAATGCCACCTTATTCTCAAAACCAATTCTCAGAACCATTTGCTGCCATGTAAATAAAAAGTGCTTGTAACTAATAAGGTATAATAACACTAAAAATCACAAATGACCTATATCTCACTGCCAGCAATGAGTGGTATATGCTTAAGGATATCATGATATTTACAAAAGTCAAAAAAATACATATTCAATTATTATTTCCTACAGTTCTAATTTTATCATTATACCATTGAGCATAAAATAATCTTTTGATATGGCAATTAAACAGATTACATTATGAAGAATAAAATGCAAGGAATTCTCTGTAAGGATATTTGACCACTAAGTATTCATACTAGTTCAAAATGAAGCTAAATATGAATAGAACACAATTTGGGGGAAAAAAAAAGACTAATTTATTTGCTTTATAAAATAAAATAGAAATCTTAGTTTTAATGGTCTGGAGGTGACAGCTTCAGATGTCATCTTTACCAAGAATAAATCCATAGTATTTCTTATTTATTTAAGACAGAAATGGATATTTAATTCCTGCTGACTGCCCAGTCGCTTCAAAAAGTCTTCTTTGAAGGAAGCTAAAATAAAAATTCCTTGAATTTTGGTTAGTCTTTTTTTTTTTTTTAGAGAGAATTTTTTTTTTTGAGAGAGAGAGAGAAAGAGAGAAAGAGAGAGAATTTTTTTAATATTTATTTTTTAGGTTTCGGCGGACACATCTTTGTTTTTTTGTATGTGGTGCTGAGGATCGAACCAGGGCCGCACACATGCCAGGTGAGTGCGCTACCACTTGAGCCACATCCCCAGCCCCTGGTTAGTCTTAAAAGTCAAAATTTGCACATACTATGGAAGCAATGAGTACAATTTGGTGTTTTCCTGTGTTCTGGAAAAGAACAATAAGTTTATAGCACTATGATCTCAGCTTTTCAAATGCTGTGACCAATTATTTGAGAGTTGTAATCTGCAGGTTCCATTTTTAAAATATGTGGGATGACACTGTCAATCCGTACATTTCCAATGAGACCTTTGAAAAATAATTCTTCCGTGATGGTAGCATTCATCAATCTCAAAGCTGGCAACCTGAGGAGGAGTCTCGATAATCTAAAATGAAAAAGAAAAAAGGGGGCAGGGGAACAAAGTTGAAAATACTAGAGATTTTGTAGAAAGATATTAGTAATTTATGCATGTCTATTACTTGTAGAGTAATTTAATAAAGATCTACTTTTTGTGTGTAAAACCTATGACAGTCACCTGGATACCAGTGTAGTCTAAAAGGCTCTACATGAAAGCCTTGTTCTCAACTGCTGTCCCACTTGGATCTAAGGACCAGGTAACTAAATTATTAAACCATGGGTCAGGTTATACAATTAAGAATGACTTAGCAACTCCTTTCAGATTGTACAAATGCAATGTTTGTGTTATCATGATATATGAGATTCAATAAATTTTGATTATGCTCTGCAAAAAACTATTGGAAATGGTGTAACAGATAGCAGTTGTTATAGAACATGGAATCAAGACCACTGGAACCAAACCTTGATTCAACTGCCCCTTATGACAAAACCTCCTCTGGCCTTGCCTTAACAATTGAGACCAAATGAGACAAGAGCTCCTGTATAGCATATTTCTACTACTACTAAAATTACTCAGTTCCTGTTTGTTCCCAGCAGGTGAGCCCCATCCACAGGACTGAAAGGAAGCAGGGTAGGAAAACTAGTCAGATAAACCAAGACTGGTTTTCTTGATGGAATTGGTCTATAAATCTACATGACTTGGTATAACACACTGTTATACATAAAATATTCTTTTATTAGTTTGAAATATGCTAAACTGTTTTATTCATTATATATAAGCACACTTACATAGCTCTTACTGCATACCAGATGTACTTCTAAGCACTTCACACACATGAACTGACTTAATCCTTGTCACACAGTAGTCCCCCCCTAATCGGTGGAGTTAAGTTCCAGGATTCCCAGTGGATGCCTCAAAAACAGTGACCCTGAACAAGTTACTTATCCTGTCTCTCTTACCATATAAAATGTGAGAACTGATGAATATACTATACGTAAAGTACTCTCAACAAAACTGTTCCTTTATTTTCCCCTCTGGTGTTAGGGATCAGCCCAGGGCCTCCCACATGCCAGGCAAGTGCTCCACCACAGAGTCACATCCCAGTCACGCTACTGCTTACAGTAGCATTAGCTAGTCCAAAGATAAATGCTGCTGAAAACATTTGATTATTCTTATATTGGAAAATAATGAAATAAATGAATTTAGTTATATAGTATTTAAGATACCTGTAAGTGTCATCTGGATATGTTCTGGTTATATAATCTTGAAATTCCACATAAGCCTTTTCCTGAAATTTCTCAATCTGTTCCATATTTTCTAGGCCTGGATGATCTGAAACAATAAAGAATATATTGTTACTCTAATTCTGAATGTTCATTTAATGAAATCCTGAAAGTGGAGATGAAAATATAGTTTAGTCAAAAAAGAAGCCAATTTATATAATGCGTTGCACTTTTATTACACAAATATTTATTAAGCCCACCTATTATATACCAAACACTGGACTTTACATACTTGAATTATTTTCTCTCATATACATATTCTAGCATCTAATAAAAAATGAGATCACTGGATGTTACCAAAATAAATAGTTTTCTTGGGCTGGGGTAGTGGCTCAGCAGTACAGCACTGCCAAGCATGTGTGAGGCATGAGTTCGATCCTCAACACCACATAAAAAATAAAATAAAATAAAATAAAATAAAGGTATTGTGTCTATCTATAACTAAAAACAAAACAAAAGTTTTCTTTCTGTTCCAAAGACAGTGAGATTTTGACCATTTTATGGTTTTAAAAAGGAATGAACAACCAAAATCATACAGCTTAAAGAAGTATCTTTTATTCATAGTATGTGCATTTAGAAGGTATTTTAGTATTTTTTTTTTTTAGAGAGGTGAGAGAGAGACAGAATTTTTAATATTTATTTTTTAGTTTTTGGCGGATACACATCTTTGTTTGTATATGGTGCTGAGGATCGAACCCGGGCCCCACGCATGCCAGGCGAGCGCGCTACCGCTTGAGCCACATCCCCAGCCAGGTATTTTTTTTTTCTTGAGGAAAAAACCCTACTATTGTTAGGTAACAAAGTACTTATGAAATTGTAAAACATAAACATTATCACTATCAAAAAATGTAAAATAATCTACATAAGCATTTCTTTTAAATATTGCTTTTTTAGTTGTAGATGAACACACAAGTATATTTATTTTTATGTGGTGCTGAGGATGGAACCCAGTGTCTCCTCACACATGCGAGGCAAGTGCTTTACTACTGAACTACAGCCCCAGCCTCTACATAAGCATTTCAATGGTCACTGTAACATTTCACAAAACTGGGAATACTAAAAGAACTTCATAAAAATGATGCATTCAACTTTCATCTATAGAAAATGAAGGTGGCACATTGCCTGTGATAAAAATGGAGACATATGATGGCTGCAAGTATAGTTCAGTGGCAGAGCACTTGCCTAATATGTGCAAGGCCCTGGTTCAATCTCTATCACCACTGAAAAATGGAGACACGTTACTAAATCATGTGAACATTAGAATAAATAGTACAAATAAGCTCTAATTATCTTACTGTTATCACTGAGAAATTTGTTCAGATAATTTCATTATGACACACAGGGACAGAAATACATAGCAAAATGAAAAACAGATCCTAATAAAAACTCTTAAACTTTTCCTATTCATAAATTGATCATTGAAAGCTTTCTGTCATTTGTCTTTGGAAAACTAGAAAACTGGCAGGAAAGTAAGAAACTAGGTCTAATAAGATGCTTGAGAATTTATCCCCTGACATAGCAACAATTGTTTCTCATTCTGTTATTTATTATGTCTAACAAAATATACTTACAAAATTTCAATGTTGACCTGACAACCCAAATAAATACAGTCTATACATGCCTTCACTGCTTTTCCAACCTTCCTTTTCATTCTCAGATGTCTAACACCCTTAAAATTCTCCAATATAAAGAATACAAGGATGATTTTTTGGTAAGAGTTGTGCAATCATCACCACAATCTAATTTTAGAACATTTTGTCCTTCCAAAAAGAAACTTTCTACCTATTAGGAGATACTCCTCAGTGTCCTAGCTCTTTAGATCCTATTGACCACGGTTATGTACTTAATTTCTCTTCACATCTACCCACACTGCATTATTTTATATAAATGGAATCAAACAATATGTGTTCCACTGTGACTGGCTTCCTTCACTTAAATGTTTTCACAATGTTCATCATGTTATAGAGCACATATCAGAATTTCACATATTGTCATGGCTGAATGATACTCCATGGTATATATATATGCTGATTCTTCAGTCATCTGTTGATGGACACTTGAGTTGTTTCTACTTTTGGGCTATTATTAACAATGCTGCTATAAAACATTGATACGCACATTTTTAAAAAATATTTTTTAAGTTGTAGATGGATACAATCTTTATTTATTTTTTTATGTGCTGCTGAGGATCAAACCCAGTACCTCATGTGTGCAAGGCAAGCGCTTTACCACAGAGCTACAACCCCAGCCCTGATATGCATATTTTTGTGTAGATACATATTTTCACTTCTCTCAGACTGACAGGAATGTAACTTCCAGTCATAGTGGTAATTCCAGGATTATTATTTTGAAGAACTACTGAACTCTTCTCCAAGACAACTGCACCATTTTACATTCCAACCAGCAATGTATGAGGGTTTCAATTTCTCCATTTCCTTAAACACTGTACTTTAATTAAGAAGTAAATGTTTATATACCTGGACTGAAGAGTACTATTGCCTTCAGATAGGCATATTCATATCCATCAATGCAGAGTTTAACCATGCTGTTACAAAACTCCTGTAGCTTGAAGATGTGCTCCATCAACAATTTTCTCCTTTCTGGTGACATTTTATCTTTAATTAAAAAACAAACACTTCTATAGTTTTCATCTAAAACATAAGACTATTTTGATGCATGATATTTCCTTCTTACTGATTTTCTAACTTTGAATATAATCAATCTATAAATGTTTAAAATTCAGAATATAATTATAGATGAAACTAATCATCTTCAGATATTGCTCATTCAAAAACTAAACTGTTATTACAGTAACACTTAAGATAACATTTTCTTTCAATAAACATCTTTGAGAAGGAAAGGTTTAGAGACAATCATCCCAAAAATTGGCCAAAGTACAAAAGACTCCAAATATAGTAACAGTATTTTACTTAAGCTCATATTGATCCAAAAAATAATGCACAAACCCATCTTTAAGAATTAGCAATACTACTATAATGAAACAAATATTTAGCAAAACAAACAAACAAACAAACCCTGCCAAGATAAAAGAAAAACTGAGGAAAAAAAAAAGTTTTACAGTAAATATTTAAGTGTACTGTGGAAGATGTGTATAAGACATTAGTAATTAGTCAACCATAGCCCTTCTGAAGGTAGGTGGTATGTGGCAAACTACAAGTATACAAGAAAAGAATTAGGAATAGAAGTATATAAATAAGATGGAAATGTGGTACTGCCTTCTAGTAGATATACTGAAAATGAGATTTTTAAGGTTATTTCTCTGCTCTTAAATATGAGGAAAAAGCAGATGATTTAAAGATAATGTAAGGGCTGGGGTTGTGGCTCAGAAGTAGAGCACTCCCCTCACACGTGCCTGACCCTGGGTTCAATCCTCAGCACCACATAAAAATAAATAAGTGAAATAAAGGTATTGTATCCTACTACAACTAAAAAGTAAATATTAAAAAAAAAAGATAATGTAAAATAATGAAAACCAAATACAGTAAGGAACTAAAAAGTAGTCCCCAATGTAAAAAGCATTCCTGAGCTCAAAAGGCTGAAACACCCTCCTGGTTATAGTGATAAGCCATTCTAAAGTTAAGTACTTTATAAACCAGTTATTGCCTGTCTCCTGAAATGAATGACAATTGTAATCACCTTGGCATCTAGCAAAGGAAAAAGAAAGTAAAAGTTGTTCCATGACTCTTCCTTTCTGCACATGAGAGAATATACTCTGTTGAACTGATATGAAACCAGCCTATACTGGGAATCAAAGGGCTATAATGAAGCAAAGCAGTTTTAAAATTGGGAAATATATATTTTAGAGATTTGAGCACCTCTACATTAGCTTTTTGGATTCTGTACTGTAGTATAAAAATACACAGGGTCTGATCAAAAATAGTCTGGGCTATGTTATGGATGTGATCTGTCCCATCATGTTGCAACTTGAGTGCCAATGTAGGGGTGTTAGGAGGTAAGGCTTTTTAAGAAGGATTAATATCTTCCTCAAGACTGAGATTCATTCTTTAGAGAGCAGGTTGTTATAAAATCAAGTCTGGCTTCCTTGACTTTCTCTGGCTTCCTCACTAGCCATGTGCTCTCTTTCCTAAAGGTACCTGCCTGCCCTTCTGCTTTTCTACTACGAGGCCCTTACAAGAAGAGGAGCAGATGGCAGTGCCAGGTTGTTCTACCTTCAGAATCATGAGCCAAAATAAACCTCTTTCTTACAAATAACTCCAATTCAGGCATTCTGCTTTAGCAACAGGAAATGGACTAGGATAGCCTGCCAAACTTAAACATCCTAGTTTTCAATTTTGCTGCACTCTCATTTAACAGTATTTTCGGATGATTAATAAATCTTAACTAAAATGTAAAAATTGTGGGGCTGGGTTATGGATGAGCAGTAGAGCACTTGCTTAGCACGTGGCAAGGCCCTGGGTTTGATCCTCAGCACCACATAAAAATAAATAAATAAATAAATAAAGGTGTCCAACTATACAACTAAAAAAATAAATATTTAAAAAAGAAAATATAAAAATTGTACTAAAAGGGTAGGTACCTAAAAACATTAATATAATCATCAGGATATCTAACTTTAGTCATAACCTTCTATAAAATGGATGTCTCCCCTTCTATATCCTGGAAAAGGAATAAATAAGGTGCTTTTTACCTTGTTGAAGGCTACTGTGAAGACAATTGACAAATGTTGCTAATATAGTTGCTACATTCATCACTTGCCAGCACTGGGCAAGGCCAAGAGTAAAAAGTTCATTCCAGTAAGCTTTTACCAATGATATGCTGTTTTCTTGCCTATTAAAAAACAAACAAACAAAAAAGTATAAATCAAGTATTAAAATAAATTTTATAAACTTCACAACTTATCCATGTACTTAAAAATATTACTGAACTAAAATTACTTAGAAACACCAACTGAGCAAGGATTTATCAATTCTATGTTTTGCATAGCTGAGGGCAACTGATTAAAAGTGCTTAGAATTTAAATATTAGCTCATTACCAGTTAGTTTCTAAGAATAATTAAAAGTAATATTATAAACTTAAAATAAGACAGGAGGAACAGAAGTTTTTGGCCAGTCTCAGCAAGTTAGCAAGGGCCTCAGCAATAAAAATAAAAAGGATTGGGATGTAACTCAGTGGTAAAGTACCCCTGAGTTAAATTCCAAGTACCCTCCCCACTGAAAAAAGCATGTGTGTATGTGTATATACACCAATTAGCCTTTTGTGTTTGTTTGTGTGTGTGTGTTGCTGGGGATTCAGTCCAGGGCCTTATGCATACAAGGCAAGCACTCTACCAACTGAGCTATAACCCTAGCCTGGCTTTCTTTTCCTTTAAATTTATAAAGAGGTAACTGAATTATTTGGCAGTAGGAAAGCAATAAATTTGGTGGAGAAATGATTCATTCTATAATTCAGAAGAGACATTAGTATCCCTGTAAAGGAGATACCCATAATTTTACTATGAATAACACAAAAAGCCAAAGGCCTTTCCTGAATTTCTGAATAAGAACTCTCTTCACAGCATAAGAAAATAGAAAAAGTATTTAGAAGTACAAAGCACTATGGTTTAAAAAATCAGTTATCCATTTGAAATTAGACAAGTAAGCTCCCCAGGTCTCAGGCTGCATAACTTTCTAAAATGCAGAGACACTGTACGTACTATATCATGCTTAAAATTATAAAGAGGTGCATGTTTTCACTTATATAAGGAAGCTAAAAGTTGACCTCAAAGAAGTATAGAATAGTGGTTACCAGATCCAGGAGGGGGTATGAGGACAGAAGTGATGAAGGAAGGTTAATGGTCTCAGGGGTGCAGCTATTAAAAACAAAAACAAGAGTATATTGGGGCTGGGGATGTGGCTCAAGCAGTAGCGCGCTCGCCTGGCATGCGATCCTCAGCACCACATACAAAGAAAGATGTTGTGTCCGCCGAAAACTAAAAAATAAATATTAAAAATTCTCTCTCTCTTAAAAAAAAAAAAAAAAAAAAAAAAAAAACAAGAGTATAAATCAATACTTGCAATCTCAGCTATTCAGAAAGCTGAGGCAGGAAAATCCCAAGTTCAAGATCTACCTGAGCAATCTAATATTCTGTAGTGCAATAGTGTAATTATGGTGGATAATAATTGAATATTTCAAAACAGCTAGTAGAGAGGATTTTGAATGTTCCTAACACAAAGAAATGATATGTATCTAAGGTGACAGATATGACAGTTACCATGATCAACTGATTATAAGTGTAATAAAATGTCACAATGCACCCCATAAATGTGTGTAATTACAATGCATCAATTAAAAAATATGACTATATTGAGAAACAGATCATAACATGCTAAGTTCTCTCTGAGGCATTGGAGAACTAGCAGTTAACAAGATATATTACCTATGCCTTCATGAAAAAGAAGGGAAACACTACAGATGTATAATTTCAAACACTCTATATAAATACTATATATATGTGTGATTATACACATAGTAAGTTTCAGGTAGTGATAATTCTACATTGCTATAAAGTAGTTTGATACATAAGAAAATGACGAGGTTTAGCTAAGGTGGTTAAAGAAGCCACTGCTGGGCTGGGGATGTGGCTCAAGTGGTAGTGCACTCGCCTGGCATGTGTGCGGCCCAGGTTCAATCCTCAGCACCACATACAAAGAAAGATCTTGTGACTGCCGAAAACTAAAAAATAAACATTAAAATTCTAAGCCATTGCTGAGGCAGTGAAATTTCAGTAATTTTGAGAAAGATGGCAGAGAAATTTTTTAAAAATATGGGGCTGGGGATGTAACTTGGTGGTAGAGTGCTTGCCTAGCATGTGTGAGGCCATAGGTTTAATGCACACATACACGGATGCACACAAGCAATATCTATGAGAATAAAGAAGAAAAAAATAAATGCAGATGCCATGATGGTAACAAGTGTATAATAGGTGTTCAATAAAAAGTGTTGTGTGCGCTGGATATGGTGGGCACTCACTTGCAATCTCAGCTATTCAGAAAGCTGAGGCAGGAAAATCCTAAGTTCAAGATCTACCTGAGCCACCTAACAAGATACTGTCTCAAAATAAAAAAACATAAAGGTCTGAGGCTGTAGCTCAGTGGTAGAGTGCACCTGGGTTCAATTCCCAGGACAGAAGAAAAAACAGTGTTGAGTGAATTACTTAAAAGTGGTCTTCTTGGAATGTTCTTCCCTGCACTGAATGTTTTCTTTGATTCAAGGAGGCTGATTCATTGTGGGATAGGGAGAGGGAATATGGGAAGAACAGACAAACTTGGGCAGAGGGGTTGGAGGGGAAGGGAGGGGACATGGAGTTATTAATGATGGTGAAATGTGATGATCATTATTATCCAAAGTACATGTATGAAGACACGAATGATGTAAATATACTTTGTATACAACCAGAAATATGAAAAATTGTGCTCTATATGTGTAATAAGAATTGTAGGGGGCTGGGGATGTGGCTCAAG